ACGCCCTCCTGCAAAAATTCCTGGATCCGCCCCTGGGGCGATGGGGGGTGAATGAAATGATCGTTTTTTAATAGTCTTTCAGAAGTGACGATGAAATGATCATCTATTTTCACTATCTCCAAGAAGTGTTAATGCCATGCAGTTCTGTAATATAGACTATCTTTGAGAAGTGACGATGAAATGATCATCTATATGATGTATCTCCCAGAAGTGTGAAAGAAATGATCGTTTTTTTAATAGTCTTTCAGAAGTGACGATGAAATGATCATCTATTTTCACTATCTCCCAGAAGTGTTAATGACATGCTGTGAAAAAAGACCATCTTTCAGAAGTGACGATGAAATGTTGTGAAAACAGGCCATCTTTTGGAAGTGTGCTAGAAATGAACATTTCGGTGTAGTTTTTTTAACACTTCGTTTGAAGTGTCTATAGAAGTGTGTTGGAAATGAACACTTCGGAGGAAGTGTACACTTCATTTCGGTACGGGCTGGGTTGTTTAGATTCGCATGGGGGGGGGGGGGGCAATGGTTAGCATGTGCGCGCTGTGTATCACACGGTCTGTCATTCATTCAACAGGCGTGGTTTAGATTCCCCGGTTGTATATGACCAGGAGCAGGGTCGTCTGTCCAACCTCGTGGGTTTTCTCTGGCACCTCCTGTTTCTTCCTACTGCTAATTATTGAAATCAAATTGAACCATGTGTTAGTCCTGAAATGACAAAATTTGTGTTGAGTGGACGTTAAAAGTAAGTTGTGATATGATAAATAGTCATGGACACTTGACATGCTTTAAGAGTATGTTCACAGATGAAGAAATTATCGCCCCAACAGAACCACTGAGCTGCATGTGCGACAAGCAATAGAGGTTCATTGTCAAATTTGACACTTCATGGAAGGGTTGATAAAAACTTCCGCTTGCTGGTTTATCCTATCCATGTTTGCTTTCCTATCGGTTCTTGCATAAGATTTTCTGTTTAGCGTTTAGCGTGTTAGTTTAATTTGATCGGCAGACGTGTTCGTCAACGTCAACCGGCACCTGACACTGCAAGAAGAGTTGGTCAGGTTGCCAAAATTGGGCGGTTGATTAGGAGCATGCCATGACGAATTGCTGAATGTCTGAGGATTGGTGGAGCAATTACTCATTATTAAGACAAAAATCAAAAAAGTCCATTTTCACTTTTGACAGGGTATCTCTTTGCGTCCATATGAACTGTTTATGTTCATGTGTAGGCAATTGGTCTGTTATTAACATACACTGGTCAACGCTAATAAAAACAGCAGTGCATTTCCGCAGGTTTGTATTGTTTCTGAATATCCCCTACTTATTTTGAAGAGTATATATGTGTAGTATCAAAGGATAGGCTATGTTAGAGTAAACAACCAATATAGACATTCCGTCCATAATCGTAAAAAGTAGTATTTATAATCTTTAATTTTGGTAAATTTATATATATAATTAAGAGAATAACTAGAAATGGCCTTTCAAAAAATAATAAGTTGCTAATCTGGTCAAATAGCGTTAAGTGGGTGTAGTCTTCCGTATATAATGTGTCAACGTCCCAGTTCACAATACCAGGTTGGTGCATTAACTATTGAGACAAGAAAATACAACGTGACTCATGACGTACTTAAAGATAACAGTAACACATCGTTATAGAAACACTATCAGACGGAAGTTGACCATACAATTACCTCGTGGTCACGTTCCAATAACTAACATTAATTATATTCATTTTTTATCCGAAATGAAACCAAGTTGTATTATTACGTCACAATAATCTTGTTTGGTCGTCGTTGTGACTTATGAATTGAGGTCCGTTATTAATTATATTACTTTATTTGTTTTGCGATTTAAAGGAGCTAAATTGCTAATATTTGAGACCTAGAAATTGACCCAAATGGATCGCAACGCATATAATAATGTAATCTAATTGTATATGAACTGATTTACATTCAATTGTTTCCGTTTTGACTCTAATTTTAAATCAGTTATGTCCAGCGAAATACGGCGCGAGTCTCAATCGAATGGAAATTTCTAGCGTCAGGTTATTCCAGTCTATTGTGCATGCTTTCCAGATAAGTTATGGCGTCACCGTTTGACATGAGTTGTGGAATATGTCTAGCCTCGTTCTTTCTGGTCACTTGTTACAAATGACGCTGAAACGCACTAAGACACGCGATTCGTGTACCAATGCTAAAATATTTATTTTGTCTTAAATATTGGATATCAGAAGCGTACCTTTTCCCGGTATAAGATCACAACATTAATGTTGATTTGAATTGACAAATAATTCGTGTTTTCAACGTGTAAGACTTTGGATGATATTGAGTTAGAGACTTAGCTACTTTAAGTATTGCCAGAGAACAATGTTGTGACCATCAATTGTACGGCATAGTTAGAACATTACCATAGGCTTAATAATAGTTGATCAGTAATAAAAATATTTCATGGACAATTAATTTTAACGTTTATTAGCCTTTCTAGTGCTTTAATCAACTAATCTCGGTCTTCAGTATTTTTACTTTATTGTTTTACTAAGTATTATGTTTATTTGATCTTTTGTATATTGTTAATCACCTGTTCCATAAGAGTTACAAGTGCATATTGTTAATCACCTGTTTCATAGAGTTACAAGTGTATAATATTGTTAATAATTTACTTGGTAAGGTAACAAGTGTATATTGCTAATTATTTACTTGGTAAAGTAACAATTGTATTAATATCATTTGCTTGGTCGGGTTACAATTTTATATTGTTAATCATGCACTTTGTTAATCATTTATGGTGTTAATCATTTATGGTGTTAATCATTTAATTGGTATAATTTATATTACTTATCATTTACTTGGTAGAATTACAATTTCATATTGCTAATCATTTACCTGATAGAGTAACAATTTTATATTACTATCAGTCTCTTGACAGAGTTTTAATTAATTGTTAACCATTCTCTAGATAAGTTTTCCTATGTGTGTTTTAAAACGTAATGTGTGAATAAATCTAGACGTATATATTAATATATTCTCCCAGGCATGTATCTGTGAATAGTCCTTATTTCGTGGCGGTAGGACGTTTGGTTATCATGGTCAGGTGCGTAAGGACGATGATCAAAACTTAATCGTGTACTACTGTCAATAACTTATCTCAAAATCTCCATCGCGTTTTTAGCTTGTGGTCCATCTAGAGGTCAGTTTTTATCCGATTTACCATTCGAATACGCGGATAGCTGTCTATTAGTTCAATTTGGACGGAAAACCGAGGTCCCGTATATAAATTGACGTGCACGTAAAAGATCCCTTGGCAGTTGGAATTCGATATAAGAGTAGGCCATAGAAGAATGGAATATGTTACCGTTACACCATAATGACAATTGACTTCGAATGTCGTTAAAATCGGACCGAAACTGCCCGACAAAATGGCCGCTCTTTGTAGGCAAATAGTGTAAAAGTACGGAATATCAAGGTTGTGGAATTGTGGACCCTCTAGGTCAAAATTTCGAGAGGTTTTGATATATGAAACATGTATTTTATCCCTATATTCGCGCATATCGGAACGTAACTTCCTGGATTATTGCCAGTAAAATCGAACTGAAACTGCGGAAAAACGAGCAGCTGATTTTATCAAGGCGAACCATGAATCTAGTCGGGCTGATATTCATAAACAAACTAGTTTTACAGACATTAAGCAATCATGGCATTTTTTGTACTGTGATATATTTTTGTGAAGTGTTTCAATGAGCTGACACTTTTACATAGCCAATGCATTTTCAACAGTTACAGAGAAGCTGTTGCAAGGGTCTGTAAGTATGTATCAAGTACATTGGATCTAGTTGACTTAAGAGTGTCTGATATGTGCATGTTGTACCAAATAGTATATAAAGAATTTGAACAGGATGAACATATATTGTTAATTGTAAAGGTTAAGTAGCTGTGTAGATATATTTTTGTGACAAAAACGGAATATTATGTCAGAATTTAAAAAATATAATAAGTCTACGTACTGGAACACATCTTGACCTTTGGACAGGTAACTAATTTCTTTTCACAACTTAAGACTGCTATAATCTTAAGGTTTAGATACAGAAGATATCTTATTGATTGTTTTATTTATTATAAAGACTTGTCTGATCACATAATAAATTAAAAGTATCACGTGACAAGTTAAAGGGATTATTGTCCATTGTAATTGGATCTGGATGTTTAGTTGCATTGACAGTGGTTAATAATTTTGAGCTTAATGCAGTGAACACTGCTGGAGAAATCATGAAATGACTTCCTGTTACACGATATCGTGCAATGCATTTATAACATTTTTTGAAACATAACCTGCTTTCTAACCGAAATTATGAAACAACATCTGTACGTACGTAGCTCCAGTATGTGCTTTTCTTTGGATTTTTTATAAAATTTTAACTGACTTTTTGTTAAGTGTTCAAAATGACAAGGGAAATATTGAAGTCTTTGGCGAGAGACAAACGTTTTTATAGTTAATGTCGTTTTAAGGGACGACGGAAGACATTATGAAAAATCTCTAAACATGACTTGCATTTTCGGCATCCATTTATACTATAATATTTGTGACTGTCGTTTGTTCGTTCAGGGCGGTCCTGGGGCTGACATTTGGCGTATAGGGGTAGCCCGGACGAGCGAGTAACATAGGATTGATGGCGTTCGTCTCAAATGTTAGACCAAATTTCAGATTCACTCACCCTTTTCATAAAGATCCAGTGTGCCCCCCCCCCCCCCATCCCAAAGATTTAATTCTAGCACAATGAGAATCTTTAATTAGCAAAATTATATTCGATACATGTATAGCAAAACATGCTAGCATTTGTAATGCCAGATTCATTCATCCAGCTGCAAAGATTGTTATATCCACAATATTCAAATTTCTATGTCAGTAAAAGCAACATTGTCTAGACCAGGTATCTACATGTATGATGAACCTATTGTCTGGGCCAGATAACCACATGTTTGATGAACATATGTATTTTTATTTTAGGTCATTCAGTGCCTGATCCAATAAAGAGTTTTTGTTGATTAAGAGGTGATTATATAGGTAATAATCGTAAAGCTGCCATGACTTACAGTTTTCGGCATTCTATTTTGGGGATTCATTTCCAACCAAAAACCTTATATTGTTCAGAGGCAACTATTTATTGATTACGAAATTCTTTTATTATATTAGGAGTAATATTGCTGAAGTACATGTATGACATAATTTATCTTTCTTTTGAAAATATAGTGTTAATTAATATGAAAAATTAAAAGGACATGAACGCTGGATTAAAGTAGGTTTGATTAGGCATCCAGACTAAAAGAAAATAACATTGTTCAACACAAATTAACTTGCTCATCTTAAGCTAATATATAACACTAAATAAAGGTTCAATTTATTGTTTTTGGCAAGTATTTTTTTATAACAGTAAGCACGAAGTAAAATTACACGACCCAGTTGTTAAAGGACTGTAGCTTACTTATTAGGTTTCAATTAAATTATATGTTATATTTTCAGATTAAACCTACCCAACAGAGTAAAAGAAAAGGAAAATTGGTGAACAAGTGTTGACATTAGCAGAAAACATATACAAGTTTAAAGCAAAGTGTGAAATGGACATTTAGATTTTGGGATAAACCAATATAGTGAGGCCCTGTTTATATGGTTTTCATTTATTCGAAAACCCCAGTTTTTGAAGGAAAACATTGTCTCGTTTTATTGAACAGTTAAAGTTAAATACGTATTGCCTTAATTATTAAATTATATTAGCCTTAAATGGTAAAGGAATAAAGACTATAATAATTCGCAGTTATTTATCTTTAAACAAACCGTGATGTGACATAAACTATTGATATGTATCTGTAAACAACATGTATTGTGATAGCAAACATTCGAGGGGGGTTCAATGGTCCGCCGCTATAAGAAATACTATAAATATTGGTATCAATAACCCTAACTCAACCCCAACCCTAACCCTAATAATAGATATCGGTGGACTAATGAACCTGCGGACCAGTGAACCTGTTAGTAGTGAATCCGCGGACTAGTGAACATCTCAGCATTACCCCAATATTCATATGTATTTATAAACAACATGTGGAAGAAACTATTGATGTATCTATAACCAACATGTATTGTGAAAGAAACTATTCAGTTTTGTGAGACTTCTGACCCCCCGTTGTACTTAACGGGAACGCCAACCCGTGCCCGTGTTCTAAAAAACATTTTCTACAGGTGTGATTTAGAGAATAAGAAATATCCGGATAAATGAGACTCCACCAGATAAATTGAAAATGTCGAATTAAGTTTGCACAGGCAATAGATGTCTGTTGTACGTAATTCTGTCAACATACATATAATTTTAAACATACATTATGCAAGAGCAAAATTTGCCTTTTTCAGGTGAAATGTTATCTAAATTATTAATTACTTATCCAGACCATAATCACCTCTCGATGTCATCGGTAGCCTGCGATAGTTACTGGATCAGGATCCGATTTGCTGCTCAAGTTTCATTCATAATTTAATCATTAATTGGATAATCGAGACTATGTTTTTATCCTACCGACTTTAGTAATGATGACCGAGGCTAGGCCGAAAATTCAATCGCTAAATTCTCGGTTCAGAGTGGGTCAAATTGACTGAAATTTTCAGCAAACTCCCTTTACATTATCTAGTTTTTACCTATTATAGTGAGAACGGTCAGCTCTTTACCTAATCTTCCATGATGTATCTTTAAGGAAGATTATAGTTTACTAACAGTTTGTTAGTTCACACAGATTTGTTTCTCAAATACACCTGACAGTATAAGTGGTTAAATTGTTTTGTTTCTATGCCATATTTAAAACATATTATGTATTAATAACAATAGATGAATTTCCATAGTACCTTATATTTAAGATGTTTCAGAGATATTTTCTGATGATTTCCCGCTGGTTTTAGCGATATTTATGATTTGAATTCAAAATATTGTTGCATATTTCTATACGCCCACATGTTATTACAGGCAACCGGTTTTAACATATTTATTTAAAATTTGATGTGAAGCACAGTGGGCCATTAGAGGACAAACCTTATCAATGTATAGTGTTCTGCAGACTTCCTTTTTGAAAATGTTGTGCACATGATACAGGCTATAGTTTTCAAAAGATTCTTTTTAAATTTGTTGTGACGTATTGAGGTCACGAGATGGGCTTATTTCCACGGTTTGTGTGGCTATCTTTGAAAGAAAAGTCGCAGTCTTTGAATTTCACCCCAGATGTTTTTAGGAAAGTATATATTTAAGGCTAACACACCCAAGCCTTATATTATGGTTTAATTGCTCCTCTTGCAGTATCAAATATTTGAGATGATTTTATTTTCCCAATAAGGTGAGATCCCTATGTTCTAATCTATTACAATTTCAATGTACACTGGGGGTTTTTTTTGGTGGGGGGGGGGGGGGGGGTAGAATCGTCGTTACGAATGATTCAAAAGTTGCAATGGCTCGAGGATACTATATTAGTTTTGTGAGCCCTTGCGACTTTGAACAGGTATAGTAATAGCGGTGAGAATCTCTGCTTACCCTAAGCAGAAAATTCTTATTTTCGAACTCCACCAAGGCATTCTAGCTCAATAAGAATGAAAGTTATTGTGTTCCAAAGTCTCGACCAATCCAATTGCTTATCGCTCTGCTTACCCTGAGCAGCAATTGCTCATTATCGAACTTAGTCAAGGTATTAATGTAATGAAACTAAACAGTAAGTTTCATCACTCTCACTTAATTAGAACTAAAGTTATCGTGTCCCAAAGCATCAACCAATCAAATTTCTTATCTCTGCTTACTCTTAGCAGAAAATGCTCATCTTCGAACTCCATCAAGGTATTGACCTAATGAACACCTTGACCTAATGTTTGAACATTATGGCTCAAACGGAGGGACGGACGAATCCATTTTAATAGTCCCCTGCTTTCGTCGAAAGCCGGGGGACAATTCAGAATTAAAAGAGTGTATAAACATTTTCGTACGCTTCCTGGAAAACCTGGAAAATCATGAATTCCCCCTTTGAAAATTCCATTCCTGGAAAACCTGGAATATGAGTATCTTATCACGGAAAGTCATGGAATTTTCACCTCCGTCCAGTAATTACCCTTTCTCCGAAATTTGATCCCATTTATTCAATTTGTAAAACTTATACGAAAGAAAAGCACGGTAAAGAAAATAGATCCAAGAGTAGACAAACTTTCGTAGTTTTTCAGACGCAACAGTCATTGGCTTGACAATCAATTTTTTTGGCTTGATAATCTGGACCACGTCCTGTAGCAGTCTCGCAGACTTGGCTGAATTATCTCCTTTTCAGGTACTCGTCTGATAGTCAGAGTTCAACTAGTTGTGTTTTTGCTTTCGAATAGCGTGATGAATTCTCTTTGATATACCCAACTAACTACAACAATATTAAAATGCCCGGTAAATGATAAAAACCGAGTTCTGTTCATGGTTAATGCGTGACAAAACTAATTCACGAAAAGCCCGATGTTGCGCATGTCAGAAGTCTTTTGATATACCTAATATGGGGGAAGCAGCTGTAAAGAGCCACATGAAGGGCGAAAAACATTTAGAGAGAGTGAGAGAGAAATGGGGTTTAACGTCCACTCGACACAAACTAGGTCATTTCGGGACTAACACATGGTTCAATTTTATTTCAATAATTCGCTTGCGCGTAGGGGTCTTTACCTGTGGGAGGAAACCGGAGGACCCGGAGAAAACCCACGAGGTTGGACAGGCCACCCTACTCCTTGTCACGTACAACCGGGGAATCGAAACCCCGCCAGTTGACTCAATGACAGACCGTATGATACAGTGCGCGCGTGCTAACCATTCGGCCATCCAACCCCCAAAAAACATTTAGATAATTACAGAAAATTAAAAGAGTGTGGTCAGAATCTTATTGGTCAGTGTTTTGCTTTATCTTCGGGTCAAACAGGGGTTAGTACAACTGAAATTTCAACAGAAAGTTCTAGTTCACGTTGTGGTAATTTTGGCACTAAAACCGAAAGTAGGAAATCCCAATCATTGACTTCGTTCTCTTCAAAGGAAAATACAATAAAATTCGAGATATTGTGGAGCCTGCACAATATAGAAAACCACCACTCATATAAATCAAATGAAGGCATTGATAAATTATTTAAGAAAATGTTCCCTGATAGCGACATTGCACAGAAATTCATCTGTGAAGAAAAAAAGATGGCCTATTATTGCAACTTTGGTTTAGCACCCCAATTTTCAGATTTGCTGAAAAACAGTGTGAAGAATAATAATTCTTTTGTACTCCTTTTTGATGAAAGTTTGAATCCCAAAACAAAAAACAGCTAGATATACATGTGAGGTACTGGGATGGGGATACTGTGATAACTCAATACTATAACCCCAAGTTCATTGGCCATGCTGCATCACATGAACTTTTAGAACATTTTACCGATTCTGTCTAAACTTGTGCAAGTTTCTATGGATAGACCTAATGTTAATTTAAAATTTTTGGATCTCTTTTCTGATTATATACAAACTAATTATTCTAGTGAAGTCTTGAATATAGGAAGCTGTGGGCTCCATATTATTCACGGTGCATTCAAGGACTTTTCTTCAACTTCTGAGTGGAATCTTGACAGTTTGTTTAGAAGTTGTTACATATTGTTCAAGGACACCCCTGCTCGCAGGGAGGACTATGAAAAATTAATAGGAACTGATAATCATATTTATGCTTTAAAGTTTTGTAAACACAGATGGTTAGAAAATCTACCAGTAGCTTTAAGAGCTCTTGAGATCATTCCATTACTTAGAAAACATATTGATCATGTGAACAAGAAAAAAATAATCAACCCCAAAAAGAGTCATATAAAACGATTGTGGAACTGTTAAAAGACCCTCTTTTTTAAAAGACCCTATTTCAGAAGTTAAAATAAACTGTTTTATTTCTATTGCACAAGAAGTTACCCCATTTTTAACCTTGTATCAGACTGACAAACCCGTGATTCCATTTCTTGCTGAGGACTTGTATTTGCTGTTGAAGGGGCTAACGGGAAGGGTGATAAAAGTGGGGGGTACTGCTTACTCATTACTGAAGATTGACATACATGACAGAAATAATCAGTGTGAAATAAAGAAAGTTGACATTGGATTTGTGGGAAATAAACTATTGAAATCACTTGTGTCTGACAAAAAAGTAAACGAACATCAGTTCTAGACATAAACGCTCAGGCAAGGGCTTCAGTTATCAAAATGATTTCTAAAATCCACGAAAAATGTACCAATATACACTTGTGAGGTGAATGAAATGTTTAGATCCTAGGCAAATCCTAGGCATTTCTGTATAGAGAAATTGGAAAGAATACTTGGCATTCTTGTTGATCATAAAAAGATCAATGAGTTAGAATGGGACACAATTAAACATGAATTTTCTACATTTTTGACCCAAGACTTATCAGGATATTCTTCTTTGTTTAAAGATTTCAATTATAAAGAACAACGAGTTCATGATCTTTTTTATAATTGCTTCTCATCAAAACAACCATATAGTAACATTTGGTCTGTCATTCAGTTACTTTTAATCTTGTCACATGGACAAGCATCTGTTGAACGTGGATTTTCTGTAAATAAAGAGGTCTATAAAGATCGGACGAAAAATCTTTTATTGCGCAAAGACAAGTCATATTCAGTCTGTTGGGGGAGCTTTAAATGTTGACATAAATAAAAAAAACTAGTCATGTCAGTCAGTTCTGCAAGACAAAACTATATGTCATTTTTGGATAAACAGAAAAAAAACAGAAAAGGAGAAACTTCCAATGAAAAAACGATCCTTGTTAGAGGAAATTGATGAAATGAAAATTTAAAAACGCAGACTTGAAAGGGATTCATCAGCTTTATTCAAATCTGCTGATGACTTGGCCAACAAGGCAGAGTCTGTTGGTTCGGTTACTGAAATCAGACATTTAATAGCAAAATCCAACAGCCACAGAGAATCGGTAAAAGTAAAAAAATCTGAACTGGAAAAATTGGTTGAAGAAATTATTAAAAAATTAAATGAATATAAGTCAAACTAATTTAGTTAATGTACCGGACATTGTTTTGTTATCTTTTCTATTTTGGATTAATTTGTTTACAGTGAATAATTGAACTTTGTTTAAAGTACTTGATGCTTTAAGATAACATATTCTACTCAGATTGTAGATATGGGAAGCTCGAGATATTTAGATGCATAGGCCAGGTGGTTTTGCACTTTGTACCTCTTGATAAGGAATTGGCACAAGGCTAGTACACCGTAACTAGTAACTGATATATGAATAAATCAAATGAACATTGGTAGTGATACAATAATCTAACAGTTCAACACATAAGAACGTATAAACTGTACCAATGGTGGCTTCCCCACCATATATATATATAGTTTTTATTTAAAAAATATTTTATTCACGGGCAACATGTATATAGATTGTTAACTTGTATATAACAATATTACAGAGACAATAATAACCAGGAAATGGTGGATAATCGACTACTCACTTTAAATGCATTAGTTCAAAATGTTTAACTGCTATTGTAAACTGTGGGGTGAGGATCCAATATACAAAGGACTCAAAATAAAATTGTAAAAATTAGAATAAACTATATCGAAATATGGGCAGGGAACAAAAATGGTTGGTTAGTTCAATAAAATCATGAATAACACATACAATATTTTCATCATTTAATAATTGTTTGTCATATATCAATTTTATCTTCTATTTAAAATATACTTGTACATAAATTGTTATATCACCAATGTAATCAAAATTTGACAACTTTCAAAAAACTATATTGACGTCACGCTATGTACCCTTTAGTATCGGACATCTTTTGGTCGCTAGCCTAATCGAAATGTATGCGTATTATATGCAGTATAGATTATTTATTCTTGATATGTATATCCACGTAACATGTTCTGACTAGAATTATATAGACATGCACTCACACCGACATTGGATCTTGCACAAGTAACCTACACATTGGTAAGACATCTTTTTCTAAAATTTATAATATCTCATTGCTGGCTAAATCTCGGTCACTTCAGAACCTGATTGCAATGAAACTGACAGAAATATTATCATAGTAGGCAAAATGTCGGTCATTTCAGGTTACCACGGTCGAGTTATTGGCGTTAGAAGAACAGTGTAGCCTGGATAGTCATTGTTACCGTTGTTACGATAATAAAGTCTCGATCATCTATTTTAACGGTAAATTATCAACCGCAAATCGTATTTAAATCTGTTGAAAAACCCCGGCATCTGATGGTATCAAGAGTTGATTATGGTCTTGGTAAGGTAACTGATGTCTAATTATTGCCCGCCTTTCAACGAAAATAGAGTCTGTCCGTCACACCTTTTGGGCCACAATACTTCTCCTAATTCAACTAGAAGATGAGCATTTCTGCTTAGAATAATGAAATGAAATGGGGTTTAACGTCCTACTGTTCTGTTCCTAAACTGTGCTAATGAAGACGGTCCTTAGAACAAGCAGAGATAAGCAATTTTATTGGTTTATGCTTTTTGGACACGATAACTTTGCTTCTAATTAAGTAACAGTGATGAAACTTGGTGTATAGTTCCATTATATTAAAACCTTGATTCTAGTTAAGTGATAGTGGTGAAACTTTGTGTATAGTTTCATTTTATAAATACCTTGAACATTTTCTGCTTAGACTAAATAGAAACTTCAATCTGATAGGAACACAATAACTCTCCTCCTAATTAAGGTGGAATGTTTAAATTTGGCGTAGGTGTTTATTAGTGAATTCCTTGACAGTGTTCAATCATGCACATTTTCCACTAAGGGTAAACAATTTGATTGGTTGAGACTTTGGAACACGATAACTTTGGTTGTAATTAAGTGAGAGTCGTGAAACTTGGTATATAGTTTCATTCTACACTGAAAAAATAAATTGTGTTGGATCTCAACACAAGTACTTGTGTGAAAATTATTCTACACAAAACTTGTGTTGTTTTGCATTGTATTAACACAAACTTGTGTTCTTTTTAATGCATTAACACAAATCTTGTGTTTTCTTCATTATAATTAATGTGTACCGTCAACAAATATTTTTTTTTTAAATTTGAACTCCATACAAAGTCTTAATCCGGGGGCCCACATAAGAAAAGTATTTTTTACTCAGACAATATAGCCAGACAGACTTGAATGCTAATTGGTGTTCAGATGTCTGTAGTTAAAATAAAGTTGTTGATTTTTTATGGGCCCAATAAACTGGTAGATCAAAGGCCTGTTGAGCACTCATGCCCGGTGTGATTTTAACAACTGACTCCAAATGCGTTGACAAGAAAATATGTAAAACTACTATTTAATGTGATTGGTTGATAAAATCAACGTACTATAGGCTACATTTTGTCGGCGATATCATCTCGGTGGAAGCGGACATTAAATGAAGTGATTTCACACAATTAATTTGCCATTTAACAGCGTGCTGAAATGATTTTAGAGCAGTGATATGTTTGACAAATGTAAGCTAATGGTCACAAAGAATACAAGACCGCAGGTTTGTGAATATTTATATAAAAAAAAATAATACCATGTATGTAATTTAGCATCGATATTGTTTCTGTGTATAATATTAGTATTTCGTTTCCTTAAAAAAAACTCCAACAATTTAAACCGAAATTTCATGTTTATGATGGCGGGGTCAGGAAAAAAATTTCGGCATGTTATTATCAAATCTGTTCAATTTTTCTGAAATCGTGCTTAATTAACATTAGTTGTTCGGCGCTACGATGTTGTTCAAATACTTATATTACAGAATCACACTATGATTAAACCAGAAACGGCTCGACTTGAACCAGCAGGTAAAAATCTGTTTTGAAATTATATCTTGGGAGGTTGGAAGTTGGGAGACCCGATTGGCGGCCATTTTGATTCTTGTTTCATGATTTTTTATATTATAAAGATATAATAAAGATTTTGCCAAGAGTAGACATAAACGCGGACACAGACTAGAAAAAATCTTTTTACACTTTTGTGTTAGCTGAATTGTAATCTAATTTATGTTTAAAAAACAACATTTAAATCAAATAAGCAGATATTTTCCCCACATCCTCCGTTCAACCTGTGCGTGTGTAATATTAGGCCCCTATTTGCCCGATTCAGTCACAGTTGTTAAATAATGGAACTAGAATCAGTCTGTGGAAGTTTCTCTATAGTTTCATAATTTTTTCCAGTCAGTGATGATATGTGACTCCACCTTCCAGCAATTATTGAGAATTTACAAGGACTCCATTGGCATTGAATTGAAGAAAAACTGGTAAAAATTTCATTTAATTTTTATATTTTCTATAATTTTTTTTTACCAATGTCGTACAATGATTAGTGTATGTGAACATATAATCCCAAATAAAGTATTTATATGGCACTTACATGCAACAGAGAGAGAGAGAGAGAGAGAGAGAGAGAGAGAGAAATGTCATAAACAAGGCCTTACATGTACTTGTATTTGAAGAATCAAGTTGTCCAAGCTGTGCCTATATGCATACCGGTAATCAACTACGACGACGATTAGCCTACAACCGTTTCCACCCTTTCCCTGCACGCTGTCTCATTCTACATGTATTAAAAATTGGTATGTTGTACGTGTAATATTAATTCTGCATGAACCTACATGTAGTGGTGTTGTAGGATGGGTCCTTATCTACTTTAGCCTACAGACGCTAGGTCGTTTCGGAAAAAAAGGACAGGTAAGGTTAAATTTAATATGGATAATTCGCTTGCGGGTATGGGTATTTAGCAAAAGGAGGAAACCAAAGGACCCAGAGATTAGAGAAGGTATGCTTAAATTTAGCAAACGGAGGAAACCGAATGACTCAGCGAAAAAACTCAAGAGATTGGACAGGCGACTCTACTCCTTGAAATCGAAACCATGCCACTTAACACAATGACAGACCCTGTGATTTAATGTGCATGCATTAACTACTAGACCATTCCCCCCAGCCCCACCCCATATCGAATAAAAGTATGGCTTATTTCAAATATGATATTTACATATAAAGAAAGTAGAGAGACTTCAATCTTACTAGAAAAATACTAGATTACCTGAAATGAAATGGGGTTTAAAGACAACGTCCTACTGTTCAGCTCCGACTGGTCTAATGCAGTGTGCTAAGAGAAAATGTTTGTCTGAGCCGCGACACTATGGCCTACTCTCATACCGAATTCAAACTGTATCCCCCCCTCCCGCATGGTCTCTATCGTCATTTTGGCGTTTATACATACACATTGAGCTTTTTAAACAGAGCAATTCAAAACTTCGTTTGACGTCAATTTTTATTATGAATTAATACAATGACATTAATTGTGATATCACATAATGTCTATATCATTATCTCGTGCTTTGGGTGCCCATCCTGTCCCACATCTGACGTTAAAGGATAAAGCACACGTCCGAGAAACTTTTCTCATAAAAAGTGTTGATTTACAAAAAAATGTATGTAGCTGAGCGGGGGGGGGGGGGGGGGGTCGACCCCCCAAACCCCCCTTCTGGATCCGCCCCTGGTCTCATCTGTGGCAAAGCAAACCAACACATGAAACAAAACAAATGTAATTAAATTAACATTTTTTGACTTAATCAAAACTGTCTAGTAATACATTGCATATTTTTTTTTTCAGTTACCCACCTCGGAAGATCAAGACAGTTGGAAAGGGCTTTTGATATTGTGGAAGCGTTTTCTCACAGAGCTTGCTTATCAGACAAAGGCTATGTAAGTACCATGCATATTTGCTTTTTAAATGAGGAACTGGTTCTATACACTTGGTAGGGGGTTGGATGGCCGAATGGATAGCACGTGCGTGCTGTATCATACGGCCTGTCATTGAGTCAACTGGTGTGGTTTCGAATCCCCGGTTGTACGTGACAAGGAGTAGGGTCGCCTGTCCAATCTTGTTGGTTTTCTCCGGGACCTCCGGTTTCCTCCCACTGCTAAAGACCCCTACATGCAAGCAAATTAATGAAATATAATTAAACCATATTTTAGTCCCGAAATGACCTAGTTTGTGTCGAGTGGACGTTGAACCCCATTTTTCTCTATATATACACACTTGGTAATGCCATTTCAAATACGATCAACATGAAACTCAGCAGGCTTGTTTGGTTGATTTTCTTACAGTTTTGATATATTACTTCAAAACTATAAGATGGATGCAATGTTACACCCTTTCATAACCATTATTATAAAGCGTTCGATGCATGAGTTTGTAAAATATAATTAATATCATATTGTAATACTGTTTTCAATACTGTATTCACAATTGCCTTAGTGGAGATAATTGGTAAATCAAATGATTATTTTTTCATTATTGTCTTTTTTTCAAGACTTTTGTTCTGGCTTCTGACCCATTGAGGCATAATAATCTACCTAGGTCTGTAACTTGAAAAGGCACAATAAGTATTATGCAAAGTTGAAACTCAACGTGTGGAAAAATAAGTTGTTTATTTAAACATTCTGAACCGTAGAAAGTATATTTATTGCCAACTCAACCATATACCTTCAGTCCTTCACGTTTAAGGGGAGGTTTCGCTCCTGCTCGTCTCGACGCACGTCAGCTTTCCTTCGAAGGAGTCATTAAAGGCTCCTGCAAATTAGCTAAATCGCTCACCTAAATATTGAGATTAATAAACTACTTTCAGTTTTTGTTTATTTTTAAACTGCATATATTCAAGGTATCAGGAGCTTTTTATGGCTCCCGCACAATTTTATAAACATGAAGGACTGTACCTTTTGAATATTAAGCCCTCAAATTATTTTATAATTTTGAAAATGAAATGAGGTTTAACATCCTACTGTTTTGCTCATAAACTGGGCTAATGAAGACGGGCATACGCCATACAGTGTGCTATGAGGGAAATTTTGCCCGAGCAGCGGCACTACAGCCTACTCTTATATCGAATTCCAACTGCCAAGGGATCTTTTACGTGCACGCCAATGTGTACACGGGATCTCGGTTTTTTGTCCCATCCGAACGACTAGACAGTTGTCCTTGTCAGGTCCTCCGTCCTGTATCACTGACAAGGGGAAAACACACCGGAAAATCTAGATGAACTTTCTCAGCCAATGCAGGGATCGAACACCCGACCTCCAGGCTAGCGAGCCAGCGTCGTACCCACTTAGCCACGTGATCTTATAATTTTGAAAAAGAATGTAGTGATTGTAAAAGCTAATATGTTATCTGTTGCATTTGGCCTGTTATTTAAATATTTTATTTTTGTTTTTAATATTAAATATCCCTCTCAAACACAATTATATTTTAATTCTCTCCAGAAATTTGTGTAAAATATAGACTGTAAATTAAAACTTTCATCTTTTAACTGTTGAGTCAATTTAAGTCATCTAATACATAGTATGTTTTTTTTTTCTCAGTTAACTACATCAGAAAGATAAAGACAGTTGGAAATGGCTATTCATATTGTGGAAAATTTTCTCACAGAGCTTGATAATCAGGCAAAATGTAAGTAACATATATATTTGTATTTTTAATCAGGAAGTAGTTCTATGCACTTGCTTGGTAATCTAGTTATTCTTCTTGGGTAATGCCTAGGACTCTGCTATTTCAAGTATTTGGCATGCTTAATTTTTGCCAATCACATCCATTGATTTCCTTCAAGTTGTGATAGGCCCTATGTGTATTTTTACAGTAAATAACAGTAAAATAATGATGGACAATATTTTACTTTCAAATAGATTTCAATAGATTTTAAAGGGTCATATCCAATTTGTTGTCAATGGAAATAAAATAAGAATGGGTCCAAAAATAATTAGACATTGCCAAGTAAATAGGTGCTGCCATGATGTAGTAGGGATTCTGAATTTGCAGATAATACATGTATGAACAGGGTGAATAGTTGACCTATTATGAGACTCAATCTCAAGACTTTTTCTGACGTCTAACTCATTTGATTTGAGCATAATAATCTGCCTGGGTCTGTAACTGGACAAGACACAATAAGCGTTACGCAAAGTTGAAACCAAATAGAGGCTCAGTCTCGATGTGGCAAAATAAATTGTTTATTGAAACGTTGTGAACCATAAAAAGTATTCTTTTTGCCTACTTTTTATTTTTTAGGCTGGAACACCATTGAAAGAGTATTTGATGTATGATAACAACAAGAGAACCCAAGCATCAATTTATTATATACTTCTGGGAAAGAATGCATTTGACCCAATTTTTAAATATTTATTCTTTGTTAATAATGTTAAATTTTCTTCCAAAACACAATTAGATTTTAATTCTCTTCAGAAATGTATGTATAATATAGCAAGTAAAGTGACATATAAATCACTTAGAATTTGGTCGGAAATCATAAAGTATTTAATAGGCATTACTAGAAACCAAATGTAGATCAAATACACCCAGAATTACAAAAAACCTTGACCTACATTTGGTGACTTTCCCTTGCTTATGAAATGAAATACGGCTTAGTATCCTACTTTCTGTGTTCTTAGAGTGATTCTGCCCTACACCCTACTCATATATCAAATATTTCAACTGTCAAGGGTTCTTGAAAGGGAACCCAGGGGGGCCGAATGATTAACCCGCACACATTTGATCAGGTCTGTCATTGAGTCAAATAATTCAATTGTCAAGGGTTCTTCAAAGTGAACGCAGTGGGGGTGGTTTCGATTCCGGGGGTGGGGGGTGGTGGTTGGCCGAATGGTTAGCACGTGCGTGCTGTATCATACGGCCTGTCATTGAGTCAACTGGCGTGGTTTCGAATCCCCGGTTGTACGTGACAAGGAGTAGGGTCGCCTGTCCAATCTTGTTGGTTTTCTCCGGTTTCCTCTCACTGTTAAAAGACCCCTATGCGCAAGCGAATTATTGAAATAAAATTAAACCATAAGTTAGTCACGAAATGACCTAGTTTGTGTCGAGTGGACGTTAAATCCCATTTCTCTCTCTCTCTTTCGATTCCGGGCGTGTACCCAATTATCCCTTGCCATATCCAACACTACTGACAAGTGGGAACTATGCCGGAAAATCCAGTTGAAATTTCTCGGCCAACGCCTTATACTCACTGAACTACTGAGGCTTATGACTTGTGATTGTATATAAATTTTTTGTACATATGATATTTTTTATTTCAATCCTGTAATCTTGATGCTTTGCTTCTTTTATTTACAAAATATTCATTTTGTTTGGGTTTTTTTTAATGAGGAAAAGGTTCTACATCATTTTATTACTCCTGCAAAATAGTGCATTTTTCTTTTGTTAGTTTTCTGTGTATGCTAGATGCCTCACAAATCACTTGTAGTGTGATTTTGTAGCACTTTTCAGTTTTTGAAATTGTTTCAATTTAGTGCATAATTAATCTTATTAGTGATTGGTTTGGATGTTATTAAATTTAGATATATTTGAATTATATATTTTGGGGTACGAGGTACGGATACTGTGTACATATCTTTATATTCTCAGTTCTTGTTTTGGGGTAAAGAACAATTTAAATAGCTATTTTATATTTAGTGATGGGTAAAGTGTGTGCGATAAAGAAAAAATTAAATAGCTATTTTATATTTTGTGATGGGTAAAGTGTGTGTGTGTGTGTGTGGGTGGGTGTGTGTGTGTGTGGGTGTGTGTGTGGGGAGGGGGGGGGGGGGTCATTATATATAACACCAGATAATTAGTATTACAATTCTCTGTTTTTCTGTGAACATTTCAAATATTTATTTAGTTTTGATGTATTATTTTACTTTGTCCTATGATTTTATGAATAAATAATAATCTTACAAAAATTTTTTTTGTTTCCTTGTTTTATCAAACTTTACAGGTCTAACAGAGCAAAGAGAGGCGTCCTGCATAGAAAGGTTGCTATACTGGATATAAATTGGGGAAAAATACAACACAAGTTTTTGTTGATGGTTATACACAAGTTTGTATGAAACCACACACGTTTCAGAAATTTCAACACAAGTTTCAGAAATTTTAACACAAGTTTCAGAAATTTCAACACAAGTTTCAAAAATTTTAACACAAGTATTGTGTAGATTTTCACACAAGTTTGTGTTGTTTAATACATTTTAACACAAGTTTTGTGTTGTTTCAACATTTAACACAAGTTTTGTGTTGTTTCAACACAAGTTTGTGTTGTTAAATAGAGACACCTTTTTGTGTTGAAAACTACAACGGTTTGTGTTGTTTCAACACAAGTTTTTTTTCAGTGTTTCAATACCTTGACTAAGTTTTATAATGAACATTGTCTGCTCAGGGTAAGCAGAGCGATAAAAATAAGCGATTTGATTAGTCGAGACTTTGAAACACAAAACACAATAACTCTCCTTCTAATTGAGCAACAATGTTCACACTTGGTCCAGGTGTATATATTTACGACTTCAGTACATTCGATGATGAGAATTTTCTGCTTAGACTAAAATAGCGATAAGCCTCGCCGTTGGCTTGTAAATAATTAATTTTTATAATATTTAAAGCCTGAAGAAAGATCTACATGGGGCTAACATTCGGGGCTTGACAACTGATCAGTGTTGAAAGACGGGATCTAAACTATAGTCGTAAATTAAGCCCAGGGCTCCCATTACTAAGTTAAAGATACATTATGGGAGATTCGATAACGAGTTGGCAGTTCTCACTATAATACTTAAAAACTAGATAATGTAAAGGCAATTTGCGAAAATTTCATTCAAATTGATCCACTATGAACCGAGAACTAAGCGGTTGAAATTTCCGGCTAGACTTGATCATCGATACTAAAGTCAGTACGATAAACAGTATAGTCGCGATTATCCATTTAATCGTGAAGAAAAGTTATGCAGTAAATCGGCTCACAATCCTCTAAATATCGCAGGCTAGCGATGTCATCTAGAGTTGATTATGGTCTGGATAGGTTAATTAATGTCTAATTAATAGTTTAGATAACATTTCAGGCCTAAAGAAAGACCTTCACTAGGCAGATTTAGCTCTTGCATAATGCATGTTTAACTAAGGTATTCTGTCTCAGCGCAGAGCCTTACAGTAAGTATAACCAGTGACACCAAAACACAAAGTGACCAATCAAGTTCTGAGCTTTATTGGAACTTCTACGAGTGTTGTACATAGGTGTGTCGTGTGTGGTAAAAAGCTGAAATAAAAATAAAACCTTACAGTTCTATACAAAGATCAATACAAACTGCTTTTCATACAAACTTGAATTTGAGATGACATGAATAGCTTTCCGTAGTTTTTAGAATCAATACTCAATACTAAACGACATACTTTAAACCATTAACATACTAAATACACAATCGGTTTTAAAATATTCCAACACGTAAAAGCATTTACATTTCCCGTACATGGACAATAACAATAGGCCTACATTACAACGTAACTTAGACACAACTAAATAATAACAGAAACCTAATTGCTGCCATCTTATAAACATAGCATTAATTTACAAGTATTTGTTGTTTACTTACTCTGTGACACAATGAAGATAACAAACAAATGATACATTTAGAAACAAAGCTGAATGTTAAGCCGTGTACTAGCGACCACGCCGTGACCAACTTCCGGAGACGTTAAATTACGTCCAAGAGAGATTACTCCAAATTATAAAGGCAAATAAACGCACAGAACACTCCCCGTCTGATGACTATCTGTCATCACATGCATTGATACATATGTACATGCAATAATACCACTCTTACATATCAAAATTTTAGGTATCATAGGACGAGTATATGTAACCACATGTTGTCCATCCCGGATAACACGAACATCACATTTACGCACTAGGCCATCTGCTTCTCTGTAGGTCTTCTCAACAACTCCGATAGGCCACATATTTCTTGCAACCTGTTTATCCTTAACTAGCACGACATCCCCACAAGAAATATTTATTTGTGTTTCGCTCCACTTGCGTCGCGTTTGAAGAGTTTGCAGATATTGGGTCCTCCAACGGTTCCAAAACATTTCTGTTAATATCTGCACACGTTTCCACTGTTTCTTGGAGATGTCTTTATCACCCACAGTTTCCATGATCCCGGTAACTTGCTGAGGTTTCTGGGTCAATAGCAGCGATGGAGTTAGTGGAGTTGGATCTCCAGGATCTGGTGTTAACGGAACCAAAGGCCTTGAATTAATTATTGCAGAAGCTTCGGCGAGAAAAGTAACCAGCATCTCGTGAGTAATCTGACCCCTGGAACGTCTAGTAAGATAGAGTCTAGGATCCTACGGGTAATACCAATAACACGTTCCCATACTCCACCCATATGCGAGGCGTGAGGAGGATTGAAGATCCAGGCAGCTCCATTACTATTGAGAAATTCCTTTACTTGAACATCTTCCGCATTAATAGCTTTGATTCCAATGTCGTCTAATGCACCAATAAAATTGGTACCTCGGTCAGACCTGAATAACTTTACGGGACCACGAATCTCTAAAAAACGTCTCAGTGCCATTATAAATGAGGAGGAGCTGAGTTCTTCAGTTACTTCTATGTGAACGCCCCTACACGTTAAACAAGTAAACATCACAGCCCATCTCTTACTGCTGGCCTGTCCGCCTCTTATGCGACCGGTGACAATGTCCCATGGACCAAAACAGTCAACGCCCACGTTAGTAAACGGCGGTCCAGGTTCTAGGCGATCTGATGGAAGGCTTGCCATTTTCTGACTTCCTAGCGTTCCTCAAAGCTTCCGACACTTAACCCATTTACTTATAATTGAAGATATGAGCGACTTGGCTACCGTAATCTAGTAACCTGCTGAACGTATGACACCCTCAGTAATATGCCTTCCCTGATGATGAACACGTTCGTGAAAATTACGGATCAGTAATGTTGCGATATGGTGTTTTCCAGGAACAAGAATTGGATGTTTCTCCGCTTCAGGGATGTTGGAGTAATCCAAACGACCTCCTATCCTCATCAATCCATCTTTGTCAATGTATGGTGAGAGTTTAGTTTGTGAGCTTGACTTAGGAAGTTGCTTCCCGGAACTGAGAAACTGAAACTCGTCTTCGTACACTTCTCGTTGAACTTCACGAATAACAAATTCCTGTGCATCATCAAAAGCAATCACAGTACACGACGTCCAAATTTGATGCGAAGTATCAGACATGTTATCTTTCTTAAAAGCTCTTGCTACATTTTTCAGACGAGCAATAGTCTTAACAAGTTTAGTCCAACTGGAAAACTTTTCGAAACGTTGGGTTCCAAGTCGACTCAAGACGGA